AATATTTTCTAATATTGGGATATTATGGAAAAGAGCACAGGATTGGAAGTCAGGAGATTGATTCTTTTTCAGACTTAATCACTAATTAGCTTCGTGGTCTAGGGGAAGTCAGCATCTCAAGGGTGCACTGTACTTCTATTAAAAAAAAGAAGCTAACACTTGCCCTGTCAGCCTTACGGGGTTGTTTTGAGGATCAAATAAGAATGTCCATGAAGAAAAGGCTACATAAACCAGAGACTTCATCAGCCTGAGACCAGAAGAACTAGATGGTGCCGAGCTACCACCAGTGACCACCCTGACAGGGAACACAACAGAGAGTCCCAGATGGAGCAGGAGAAAGGTCGGGTGCAGAACTCAAATTCTAGTAAGTAGACCAAACTTAATGGTCTGACTGAGACTGGAGGAACCTTGGAAAGCATGGCCCCTGGATTCTCTATCAGCCCAGAACCAAAACAATTTCCCGAGGCCAACTCTTCAGACAGGGATTGGACTGGACTCTGGGACATAAAGTGATACTCATGAGGAGTGTACCTCTTAGCTCAAGTAGATACAGGAGACTAAACGGGCAGTTTCTGTCTGGATGTGAAATGGGAAGGTAGGGTTGGGAGCTGGTTGAATGGACCTGGGGAATCAGGGTGGAATGGAGGAGTGTGCTGTCACAGTATGGGGAGAGCAACTAGGGTCACATAACAATGTATGTATAAATTTTTGTATGGGGAGAAAAAACTAAAGATGCTTTAGCACAAAAAAAAAAAAAGAACGTCCATGAAAATACTCTGTGGTTGGGAACTCCTATGTAACTGTAAAATGATAATATTATTTCCTTTCTTAGTTAAATTAAAATGTAATATTTGGTCCTGGGTCTGGGGAAGAGGGAAAATATCAAACTTCTTAAAGGTTTTGTTTGAAATTAAATTAAAAACATCAGAAACCTCAGTCTGAATGAATATATATGCCTGAAAAACCCTGTAGACTATAATTTGAGAAACTAATCTGGAAGCTGATCTTGTATTTGACAGTGATGTGAACCAAAAACATAGGTTGCATCTTGTTAGATGTCAGTATTTGACTTGCCTTCGAGATAGAAATATGAATGAAAATGTTTTGAGTTTTACCTGTGTAGTTGTTCCATATGCGTTACAGAATTTTAAAACTCCCTTCCTATGTCTGTTGCTGTGAGCTATACATTTTTGCCAAGGGTCAAATTAGGGTAATATTTCAATTCTTAAGCTATACAGAGAAATACGATCCTTATAACATTTATCAGCATTAACCAACCAAACCAAACCAAACCTTTGCCGTTGAGTCAATTCTGACTCATAGCGGCCCTATAGGACAGAGTATAACTGCCCCATAGGGCTTCCAAGGAGCGGCTGGTAGATTCTGACTGCTGACCTTCTGGTTAGCAGCTGTAGCTCTTAACCGCTGTGCTACCAGGGCTCCTTATCAGCATTAGCAGTATGGTAATTTACTGGTTCGGAGGAGAGACTCTGGAACCAGACTGAGTGGAATCCCAGTTCTGTCAATTAATTGTTAGCCATGTGCATTGGGCAAGTCATTTAACCTCTCTGTGCCTCTATTTTCCCACCCATAAATGGAAAATAATATTCATATCTACTTGATGGTTGTTGGGAGGATTAAATATGGTACTGTGTGTAAAGCAGAGTCCCTGGGTAGTACAAACAGCTGCTAACCGGAAGATTGGAGGTTTGAATCCATCCACAGTGCCTTGGAAAAACAGTCCTGGCAATCTACTTCTGAAAAATCAGTGATTGAAAACCCTGTGTAGCACAGTTCTACTCTGACACACATGGGGTTGCCATGAGTTGGAGTTGACAGCAACTCGTTTAACCGGTATGTGTAAACACTTAGAATGGTGCCTGGCAAAGGCTAAGCACTATTTAAGTGTTGGTGGTAGTTATTATGTTATTTTGGCAGTGGCTAAGGAGTAAAGTACATGACAAGAGAAACAAATCTTTCTCTTGGAACTGATAGCTGGTATAGCGGCAAAAAATTAGGGGCTTTAGAGTCAGATACATTTGGATTCTTATCCTAGTTCTGCCACTTCTTTGCTTTGTGGTTTAAGCAGGCCGTTTAACCTATGTACGGCTCAGTTTCTTTTATGTGTGAGTCAGGAATCATCATACCTGTTTTGGAGAGTTGTTATGAGGATCATATGGGATATAAAATGCCTGACCCAAAGTAGAGGCTAAGAAAAGGAGAGTGCTCTCATCTTCCCTGCCACCGCCCTCCACTGCTGAGCAGTACATGCAGTTTGATTTTTTGTGTGCACTCTTATTCATTTGTTTTCAATTTTAGAACTTGTAAAATTCTTTCCATTTGCTAACAGCAGAATAAACAGCAGCTGTTTAATTGGATATACCATGAAAAATGTATTGTCAGCTTGTGTTTTCCCTTTCCCTTTGCTGTTTTGGGTTACTTTGTTTATTGCCCCTATTGTAACTCCTACTAGAACCACGATGATAGACATTAGTAATTAGTCTTAGAATTGATCTGGGCTATAGCTTCAGAATCCTTCGTCACAGTATTCCAGGCAGCTGTTGTTGTTACAGTAGTCAAAACCTTTCTGCCTTAGAGCTTTCTATTAGAATGGAATTATCAAAATATCTGGACTGTCCATTAATCCTCTGTCTTGAGATATGGACTTGTCAAACCTTATGACAAGACAGTGTGGTCTTGTAGCATTTCCTAATAAATGTTTATCTATGTTATAACATTGTTATATAATGTGGGTATTTTAGGCCTCCTTCTAGCAGAGGTTTGGTAATTCTAAGAGTGTAATGCAGTGATTGCCAACCAAGAGTGTGCATCATAACACTTGGAATGTGGTCTTAATACTCATGCCCCAGGCCTTATCCCAGATTTACTAAATGAGAATTTTTAGGAGATAGACCCTGACATATGTATTTTATAAAAGCACCCAGATGATTCTGCTATATATACTACTGGTTAAAAACAACTAGGTACTAATAGGTAAGTGGTAACTTTGGTGAAGGGTATGACAGTACACAATACTGGGGAAGCCAGCACAACTTGTCCAAGGCAAGGTCATGGAAGCTCTATAGACGCATCCAAACTTCCTGAGGGACTGAATTACTGGGCTGAGGGCTGTGGGAACCAGGGTCTTGGGGAACATCTAGCTCAACTGGTATAACATAGTTTATAAAGAAAATGTTCTACATTCTACTTTGGTGAGTAGCATCTGGGGTCTTAAAAGCTTGGGAGTGGCCATCTAAGATATTCCACTGGTCTCACCCTGTCTGGAGGAAAGGAGAATAAAGAAAACCAAAGATACAAGGGAAAGATTAGCCCAAAGGACTAGTGGACCACAACTGTCACAGCCTCCACCAGACTGAGTCTAGCACAACTAGATGGTGCGTGGCTACCACCACCGACTGCTTTGACCGGGATCACAATAGAGGGTCGCTGACAGAGCTGAAGAAAAACGTAAAACAAAATTCTAACTCACAAGAGAAAGACCAGACTGGAGAAACCCTGGGAGTATGGTCCTCGGATACCCTTTTAGCTCAGTTATGAAGTCACTCTTGAGGTTCACCCTTCAGCTAAAGATTAGATAGGCCCATAAAACAAAACTAGACTAAATGGGCACACAAGCCCAGGGACAAGGATAAGAAGGCAGGAGGGGACAGGAAAACTGGTAATACGGAACCCAAGATCGAGCAGAAAGGAGTGTTAACGTGTTGTGGTGTTGGCAACCAATGTCACAAGACAATTTGTGTACTAATTGTTTAATGAGAAGCTAGTTTGTCCTGTAAACCTTCATCTAAAGTACATTAAAAAAAAAAAAAAGACTAAATGGGCACACCAACCCAGGGGCAAGGATGAGAAGGCACGAGATGACAGGAAAGCTGGTAATGGGGAGCCCAGGGTCAAGAAAGGGAGAGTGCTGACACGTTGTGGGGCTGTCAGCCAATGTCACAAAAAAAAATGTGTATTAATTGTTTGGTGAGAAGCTAATTTGTTCTGTAAACCTTCATCTAAAGCATAAAAAATCCCCAAACATATATATAATAAATGAATAACTAGATACTGGCAACTATGTAGAGAATTAAGCACTTATACATTATTGGTATGAGTGTAAATTGGTATAGCACAGCTTATAGAACAGTTTTGCAGTATCTAAACAGAATTTCAGTTTTGTCTTAGGATACACATATGCACAAGGATATAGTTTCAAAAATTTTTATTGTAGACCTGTTACAGTATCAAATAATTGTGAGCAACTAAGTGATTGTCAGCGTACAGATGGTTGAATACATTATGGTGGATACCCTAGTTGTTTACTGTGTAGCCATTTAAAGAATAAATTATATGTTCACATGCTGATATAGAATGATATCTAGGATATATTGTTAAGTTAAATAAGCAAATCACAGAATAAACTTCATTTTCATTTTATATGTAAATACAGAGAAAGGTTTGGAAGAAAACCTACCGAAGTGTTTACAGTGATTATCTATGGCATAGACGAGTGGGAATAGTGGAGTGAGGAGAGGAATAGGCCTTTTTACTTTTGTATTCAAAATATTTGCAATAAGAGTTTACTATTTTTGTAATTAAAAAAAAAACACTGGATTTAAAGAAAGCTTATATGGAACCTATTATATGTGTCAAGACACTGCTTATTTTGCAAATATCAGTTGTAACTTGAGACATACAACCTTTAACTTGGGAAACAGAAAGAAATGTCAAACTATTTTGCCTTTTTGCAAGGAGGATGAAATGTTGTTGCCAAAGTTGTGAAAGTAATTGACAGTTTCAAACAGATAAGCATTTAAGATAAGTATTTGTCTTGTGTCAGAATTATATTGGTTACTTGTTTTAGAAATATTAGTGTCTGTGCACATCTGAATATGAAAATCGGGTTCAGAACATTTTAGGTTAATCCTTTTTCAATTGATTAACTTCTCGTCTATGAGGATGTTAACACCTTTTAATCCTGTCTTTTAAAATTTTAGGCCCGATGAGAGAAAGGGAAAATTAAGGATGCTGGAGCAGAACAATGGATTTCTCTTTCTCTTTCATGCAAGGGATCATGGGAAACACAATTCAGCAACCACCTCAACTCATTGACTCCGCTAACATCCGTCAGGAGGATGCCTTTGATAACAACAGTGACATTGTTGAAGATGGTGGCCAGACACAGTATGAAGCTACCTTGCAGCAAGGCTTTCAGTACCAACCTACAACAGAAGATCTTCCTCCACTCACAAATGGCTATCCATCATCAATCAGCATGTATGAAACTCAAACCAAATACCAGCCGTATAATCAGTACCCCAATGGGTCAGCTAATGGCTTTGGTGCAGTTAGAAACTTTAGCCCCACTGACTATTACCACACAGAAGTTCCGAACACAAGACCACATGAAATTCTGGAAAAACCTTCCCCTCCACAGCCACCACCTCCTCCTTCGGTACCACAAACTGTGATTCCAAAGAAGACTGGCTCACCTGAGATTAAACTAAAAATAACCAAAACTATCCAGAATGGCAGGGAATTGTTTGAGTCTTCTCTTTGTGGAGACCTCTTAAATGAAGTACAGGCAAGTGAGCACACAAAGTCAAAGCATGAAAGCAGGAAAGAAAAGAGGAAAAAAAGTAACAAGCATGACTCATCTAGATCTGAAGAGCGCAAGTCACACAAAATCCCCAAATTAGAACCAGAGGAACAAAATGTAAGTTGAAATGTCTTTTTGAAAAATTTTGTAATCTTTCATAGTTATTGGAAATCCAAAAGCTCTGTTCAGTTTTTATCTGTTCAGATATAAATAATTCTGATAACTTCTTCTAATTCCTAGCAAGGTTCTTGGGATATTATAATTGGCACTGAGTAAATATTTGTTGAATAAATTAATGGACATGGTTAGAGTTAGGAAATACTTTATAAACCTGTCACCCTAAGAATCTTGCTGCATGTTTCTTTGTTCTAATAGCCTTCATTATTTTTATTGGCTTATAATCGATTCCTGGTTTTTGAAGATGAAGATGGAAGACAAAGAGAAGATGGTTAATTATACTGGTTTTTAAAATTATTATTTTTAGATCAGCTCATTTGCCAGTATAGCTTAGATTTAACACTCATTGCTAATATGTTCACTACAAAATAACCTGAAGTAATGGAGGAAATCTTGTATTAAAATCAGATTTAGTACTTACATATATTGATTAAAACTTCAGATGCAGTTTTGATAGAAGTCATCCTTTGTAGGTAACTTAAAATGAGTACAGTTGAATTTTTTATTATCTGGGAGTTCAGTCTGATTTGCTTAATAGTATTAGTATATAACAAATCAATTCTATCTTGAATGAAGAGTTTTTAGTTAGCATTCTCATACACTGTATGAATTGCAGGTGTTTTCCAGACGTTGATTTGGAAAGAAAACACATATATTTATTTTTCTGACAGTTGCCTTCTTTTATATCCAGAATACCTGAATATGTTAATTTGTTATCTTCCATTCAAAGAAATATTTACGTCTTACCAACTCACCTTTTTTAAACTGAATTCCACTACGTCATATAACTCAAATGTGATCTTTTTTCTGGAGTATGGGTCACAATGGTTCTAGACTCTCAGAAGTCCGAGTGTGACATTTCAATGTGTTTCCTCATTTTTCCATAGTTTTCTTATTATTCATTTAACAAATATTGATTGAGTACCTAGATGTTCTAGGTACAGTTCTAACAAGGTATGGCAATGAATGAAAAGTAAAGATGCCTGCTCTCAGGGTGCGTATATTCTAGTGAGACGAGCCATATACATATATACGTAAGTTCAGCTAGCGTTAAGTGCTATGAAGAAAATAAATTGAGTGATGAGAAAAAGAGTAAGCCAGAGCACTTCAGCTATTCTGGTGTCATATTTCTGCATCTGTAAATGAAAGCTTTGGAACTAAATGACTTCTGAAATGCTTTTTAATTTTGAGTGCCGTTTATTAAATACCCCACCCCCCCCACGTGCACATACACACACAAACACACACAAGACCCAAGACCTAGCTCATGTGAGTATCTTATATTGACTGTTTATTGAGTAAATGAATCAATGGAAGGAGGGAAATTGTGTTTTGCACTCCAAGTACGTTCATTTTAACGTTCTTTCCTACACCTGCGCTGGTAAGATATAAGATGTACTTTGCCCCTTGGGAATCACAAAATGCAGAAAACTTGAATTTAGTTTTAGCTCATTAGTTCCTGAGGATGGCCTGCCTTTCTTTGGCTCTAGAGAAATCTGGCAAGTAGGAAACTATCCAGTTTTCCTTACTAGGCTAGACTTTTTGCCTTTATTTATAAAGTTAGGTAAAAATATATCTCAACATAGAAAAAGGGTTGGAAGCAATTAGAGGCAGGATAAAACAGTCTGTTTATTTTTCTTATCTACTTTCTGCTTATCAGGTCAATGATTTTTCCAGTAGTCATGTGCAATGAGATTTAAAGCCAATTCTCTCTTTAATGGTTATCTGCTATGCCTGGCTCTTTATATCACTTAAACCTTTAGTTAACTGGTACACCCAGGGATTACAATATTTAGATATAATTTAAGAATTTTAGTTTTGTTTTCTAGTGAATTATGCTGGGCATAATTTATTGTTTGATTATTTACCACATCTTGGAGTAAAGGAACATCAATTTTGATTGAAGATAACAGATGGAGAAAGTGGCATTGATTGCTCTGAATATTACTAAGACCATTGCCTGAAAGTTGAGTTTTGGGGGAAAACTCCGGTATTTTTTCCTTGTCGTTTCTCTCTCCCTCTTACTCCCTTTCTCTGTTTCTCACTTCTCTCTCTCTACTTTCTTTCCTCTTCTCCTCCCCTTTCTTTCAAAAAGTAAGGTGAAGAGCTAAGTTCTTGTTAGTGGAATTTTGATTAAAATTTTATCATACATGAGGGGGCAATTATCAGCTTAAGAAATGGGTACCATAAAAGTCATACTCCATTCTGACAAGGGAACTTTAAAGCTAGAGCGTCCAAGCCTTTATTGTTAGTGTCCTGCTGTTGCTAAGCTCTACAGATGCCTAGTGATGTGTACAAATTAATCTGTATGCCAACCTTATATATTTTTAATTTTTTGGTTTCCTTAACTTGAAAAACATCTATACTGCTTCCTTCAAGACAGTCAGCTTCAGTGTTTTAATTTTGGATAGCTTTGTGCCTCCTGTTTGTCACTGGTGGTCCATACCCTTGGTGTTCAGCATTGTGGAGGGCATAGAAGTGAAGGAGAATCCTAAATAAGAGTGCTGACTCCACAGCACAGTCCCCCTCTCCCCCTAAGATGCCTCAGGGAAGCATAATAAAAACTGTGCCTGGGAAAACAGTTTGAAATGATTGTGCTGGATTTGTTTTTGTTTTTGTTTTTTTTAAATATGTGTTTCTTAAGAGCCCACTCATAGGTTCTCTTTTGAGGCAACAAAATTTTGTCTAAGATAATGCACTTTTTTACCCACTTTTTTTTTTTTTTTTTTAGTACTTGGTCTGCAAGTATTTCCTCCCAATTCAAAGCTGTTTAGCCTTCTAAATAGTGAGTGACTGTTACTTGGAACAACCTAAGTGTATCTTCTCAACGATGAAAATGTGTCCAAATATCTAGGCAGCAGGAGACCTGAGATCACTTCTGAACTGTGTATTTTGTAAAGCTGCTTTAGCTGTTTTTCCTCCTGCCAAATTAGAAACATGTGGAAACGTTTCTGCCTTTCTTCCTCCTTGGCAGGTGTAATGCCTCAGGCATTGGCGTATAGGCCCTATTCAAACAACAGTCTTTGACCAGCCGTCAGCCGGGTCTTCAGTGCGTTTATCCACTGAGGCTAGCCTCATTAACTCTTAGCTTGCCGTTTCTGCTTATAAAAAGCTGAGTGGCTGGATCAGTCCCATTAACACTAAATTACAGGTGATGTTGAGGTCTGTAGTCTCAGAGTATTAGGCTTTCAGATTCTTAGAAACTGTTCTAAGATGTTCTTTTTGTACAGATTTTCTAGTTTTTAAGACCATTAACTTAAGCAGCTCTTCAGAAAGTAAAAGAAAGTGCGAACAATTTATTGCCTTTAAAATTTTCTTTCCACCTTTAATATTTACGTAAGTCTTTTGTTCTTTTAGTGAATATGATTTTGCTTAATATTTTAAAATTTATTTCAGTAGTATTACTAAGAGTTTGAAATTCTGCTAGATTTGATGCATATTGTAGATCTTAATGAATTTCTTGAGGTTTAATAAAAGTACTAGACCAAATGTTTTTTAGAAGGAATATTTAGGATAATGTAATTTATTTTCACAGCTCTCTTACATTTTTTTTCCTGTTTAAGAAACTTGCTCTGATTCTTAACTGGAAAATAGGTCTTTCCATGTGGAATCATCTAAAAACATAAAAGAGTGGTATATACCCATAAAACCATGAGTTTAAAATTAAGATGAATTGAACATTAAGGAGTGCTAACTCACTGTCATCTTTTTTTGATGCATTCTCTTCCTAACAAAGCAGCAGTATTAGTACCAACAAAGGTATCCTCTGTTCCTCCATGATTTTAATCTGTCTTAAACTTGCTGCTTGCCTGTGAAATACTGAAGGAAAATGGATTTTATACCCAGAACCATTTATCTGTTGTCATTTTCTGACTCCTTATTTTTCTTAACTGCTACACATTTGACTTCCAGTGACCATTTCTTCTTAAAAATTTCTCCCCTTCTTAATTGGTGTTTGTGATACTGTGCTATCTCTTGATTTCTCCTCTTTATTTTGAGCTCAGGTTATCAATCTAAAAGGCCTACTGCTGTTTCTGTTTTGCTCACACATTGGCGTATTTTACATGTATGTCCTCTCTATCATTTCAATGTCCTTATGTGACTTCTTTTTCTTTCTTTTATTTATATAGTTTAGAAAACTTAGACTAAATCTTCTTGGCCTTCTTTCTCTCCTTTGCCAATTCTTTCCTTTTAAAAATGATTGTGAAAATTTTCAATTTAATGAAAGTCATTTTAACAGTGTTTCAAACAGTCCTGAAGGAACCGCCAACAATCTGGAATAAACCAAAAAACAAAAACGTAAAAAGATAAGACATTTGACTCAGGGAACATCTAGGTTAGTCGGCATAACATAGTTCATAAAATGTTCTACATCCTACTTTGGTGAGTAGCGTCTGGGGTCTTAAAAGCTTGCGAGCGGCCATCTAAGATAGATCAGCATGTTCGGAGCAAAGGAGAGTGAAGAAAACCAAAGACTCAAGGAAAATATTAATCCTGAGGACTAATGGACCACATGAACCACAACCTCCATCAGCCTGAGCCCAGAAGAACTAGATGGTGCCCAGCTACCACCACTGACCGCTCTGACAGGGATCACAGTAGAGGGTCCCAGGCAGAGGAGGAGAAAAATGCAGAACAGAATTCAAATTCACAAAAAAAGACCAGACTTACTGGTCTGATGGTGACTGGAGGAACCCCCGAGACTGTAGCCCCTGACACCCTGCTAATTCAGAACCGAAGCCATTCCCAAAGTCCCCCTTTTAACCAAAGATTAGATAGCTTTTAAAACAAACAATAATACACATGAGGAACTTGCTTCTTAGTTCAGTCAAGTATATGAGACCAAATGGGTGACACCTGCCAAAAGCAAAGACGAGAAGGTAGGAAGGGACAGGAAAACTGGATGAATGGACACTGAGAACCCAGGGTGGAAAGGAGAA